ACAGGACAGTTAATAGTGGTAAACTTTAGTCTGTGTTGAGAATATCCCCTGTTTATCTGTTTCACTGTCAATTCTCTCTTTTTCTTTTCACTTAGTGTAACCGATTACTTTTGTAACGATATTCGCTTGAATTACTTCTTCATTAGAAGTGATATATTTTCAAAACATTATCATTTTCATACATTTATTCCCCTTAATGAATTTGAACAATGCAAGAACTACAGTTTTAGCAGAATAAAATGGTACCATCTTTTATTTCGTTGCCTTCTCGTCAGCTGCTTACATGGCAAAGACATTATTAAATATATCTACAACAACAATTTTAACATACTTGCACAGAGTTCAGTTTAAACAAAAATCAATCGATCAATATACGCATACACTAAAAATATATACATATATAAATATGCAATATTAACCACTATTCCGAACAATAATAATCAAACACAATGGAAACTTTTAGCATTTCACATTCGGAGGAAAGAGAGGTGAAATTATCCAGTTACCAGGGCAAAGAAAGGCTGATAACCGCTTCTTTCTGGACGCATAAATCAGGTTTCATGCGCTTGATGGAAATGGCTTCAGCAAACTTAAGGAGAATGGAGCTATTTTGCTTATTGATAATTTTGAACGACTTTTCAACGTCCACCTCATGACCCGTGTCGAGAAGATGCCTGGTGATGGCACTATTTAAAGCATTTGTTCCCTTTAGACGTAAGCTTTTTGGTACATGTTCAGAAAATCGTAGATATGCCCTTCTTTCTGTCCTTCCAATGTAACTGCTCCCGCAGATACATGTAAATTTGTATACACAGTTGGAGGTAACATGAGAAGGATATCTATCGATTTTCGATTGCACCAAAGAGTAAGTTGTTCGATAGACGGGAACGAGCTTAGCTGCAGGATACGCTATGGCTAGTGATGTACTCAGCCTTCTGTTGATCATCGCTGCAATATTTTCACCTTTGTAATCAAGCTGAAGGTAGACTGGCTTTTTTTCCACTGTGATTTGTTTTACTCTTTTGACTTCAGATCTTCCATACTTGTTGATGAACCTTTGAGGATACCCATTTCTCTTCAATATATTTTCAAGGAACTCAAACTCCTCCTCTAGTTTCTCTGTAGAGCATATTCTCCTCGCTCTATAGTACAAAGTTTTGACCAGACCACGTTTAAAGCTATGTGGACAAAAGCTATTAAAATGTAAGTATTGTCCTTTCCATGTGGTCTTTCGATAAATTGACTTTTGAAGACCACCGTCTTCTAGGCGTTCCATGGCTATGTCGAGGAAGTGAAATTTTCCGTCACTTTCGTGTTCCATAGTGAAGTCAATATTGGCGTGTGCACCATTGAATAATCTTAGTAAGCGTGAAGCATGACTTTTATTTTTGCACACTATAAATGTGTCATCAACATAACGACAGTAGGAGGATGTTTCGTCGATTGCATGCTTCAGCTTTGTTCTTTCAAGGTTAGACATGAAAATATCTGCTAAAACAGGGCTAAGTGGACTGCCCATAGCTACACCATCTATTTGGCGGTAAAACGTGTTGTCAAATAGGAATTGCACATCCATGGTGCACATAAGCAGTAGGCGTTTGAATTCAGATTCTGGGAGTGGGAGAAGATCGGACTGCTGACAGATGATTTCAATGGTTTCATTGACTGGAATCATTGTGAATAGGGAGGTTACATCAAATGACACCATGAAGTTATTTAGAACGTTCATGTGATTCACACTCTCAGAGAAATGAAATGAGTCTTTCACCGTGTGCACGCCTAGCCGTTGACGAATAGGCTCCAACTTCTCCGCAAGCCAACGTGCCACCTTATGTTGGGGCGAGTTGATCATCGAAAGTATGGGTCTCAAAGGGACTTGTTCTTTGTGTGTCTTCGGAAGGCCATACATGTGTGGCAAACGGGACCCTCGAGGTTTCAAATCATTGTATGTGTTGTTGTTAATCAATTTCTTCTTTAGAAGATCTCTCAAGGCGTTTGTGATACGTTTTTCGACTGCATCTGTCTTATCTTTCTGGCAACTGTCAACTTTAAATCTCAACGGGTCATTTAGCACAGCTTTCATCTTTGCGATGTAGTCCTCTTTGTCCATCAGCACCACACCTGAGTTTTTTAGAATGCAAGCAAATAACACTTGATCCTCTTTCAACAAGAAGTAGCTCTTGTGATTTAGTGGCATATTGAAGTTTGAAATATTGGGTGCCAGGATGGAGTTCAGTTGGTAACATCATCACTTGTTGGGATGTAGGTATGTTAGGGCTGAAAAGTCACATATTGTACAAAACATCCTCGTGAAATTTAAATGTTAGTCATAACTTATCATAATACATCTGATTTATTTCTGTTTTCGTTCTTATTCTTTAGTTGTTGTTGTTAACTTTTGAACAGAAATAAACACTTTTTTTTAAGTGAACAGTTGGTGAAATAAAACTCAAGGATAGTTGGAAATAAGCCTGAGTTAATTCAATAACTTCTTATCGTCAGCAATATAATTACCCATTTCTTAATTTCAAACCCCTTTTAATTAATACATTGTTCACAAATAACTTTTATGTTATCTGAACAAAAACAACGTACAAATCTTCTGTGGACATGTTCCAGCCCATCTATACACAATGGTAAACAAGTCCAAGATCCTATGAAAGATCAAATAAATAACAGTTTTGTAAAGTAATAACAGACAACTGGAAACTTATTCAGGATTTCATCATCAGCTGACGTCGGTTCGAGAACCACTGGTAAACCTGGAAGAACTGGACAGCCGTTTCTTCCGTGTTTGGGACTCTTCACAGCATGCACCCACCAGGGTTCAAACCCTGGACCTTCCGCTTACAAGGCTAGCGAGCTCGTAGACCATTAAGCCACTGTAACCCGATCAGATGACTCAAACTAGGAGGAAACACTTGTACTCCCAGGTTTCCCCATAATTCTCTAACCGATATCAGCTTATTAATATATGTGTAAAACTTGGGCACTGTGGTATTAAGTAATTCCATATTAGTTTGATTATTAAATGTATCACACAGTGAAACAGTATTGTATACTGGATGACAGGTTTCGAACACAATTTATTGTTCATAATCATATCAATTTTTGTCACACGACTTCGAGATTTGATTTTTATAGTTTTCTCTGTCTTCTCCTATTTGTTGTATGGGCAGTAGAATTTTCCATATATCTGGGACAGGTGTTGAATCATTCCTATTACATGTATTTGCGGTTGATTCGATAAACAAAGCTTCTGATAACAGATATCCGATATCAGCTTAGGCTGAAATCCTGTGACCAATCAATCAAATCCTCGTAAACCAATACTTGGAAACTTATACATGCACCTCAAGATGCTGTTCATTGCATGCGTCTCTTGGTTGCCTGCTTGAATTACTACGCTATCTGAATTTCCAACCAACACGTTAGATCATATTCTCTCTAATTCTCACTGTCTTAACCGCTTAATTATATCCTTTGGGTCCCAGAGTGTTCTCACGCACATTTTGAATTGGCTTTCAAACTACCGATGCGCATCTCGCGGAGACGAAAGATAAGTGTCATAAGGGATTAGTGTAATGGAATTGCTTCACATGATATCCTTTCGACTGCTATTTCACTTCAAGATCCAGAATGAAGAGGAGATGTGGAGCAATAAATTACACTGAGAATTCTGTATACTATGTAAACATTTTCTTCAGAATAAAACTTCTATTTCAAGTGTTGGTTTGCAGGGATTTGATTGGTTACAGGATTTCATCATGAGCTGACATCAGTTAGAGAATCATTGGAAAACCCACCTGTGAGTACTCGACAGCTGTTTTTTCGTCCTAGTTTGGGACCCTTCAGCACTACGCACCCACCGGGATTCGAACCCAGGACCTTCCGGTTACAAGGCGAGCTCGTATACCATTAGGCCATTGGGACCCGATCCAATGGTCCTTGAATTCTAAATTCTGCCAATTCCCGACATATCGCGACCGCTAGCCAATGTCTTCGGCGAGTATTTGTCCTCACACCCGACCAGCTGCACCCTACTGGTCACGACTTCCCACCGGAACCCAGGTAACTATCTACCTGTCGTGAATTGGCAGAATTTAGAATTCAAGGACCATTGGATCGGGTCCCAGTGGCTTAATCGTATACGAGCTCGCCTTGTAACCGGAAGGTCCTGGGTTGGAATCTCGGTGGGTGCGTAGTGCTGAAGAGTTCCAAACTAGGATGAAACAGCTGTCCAGTACTCCCAGGTTTTCCAGTGGTTCTCTAACTAATGTCAGCTCATGATGAAATCCTGAAAACTTTTATTTATTTATTTTTTAAATATTATAAAATTGTCTTTTAATCTCTATGACCACTGCTTCATTTGTCAACCGGTAGCATAATTTTTAATTTTAAACCTCATGAAAAAGAACTTTCATCTTCTTTAACTTCGATAGTTCCATTTTTATTTTCTTTCTATTTCTGTCTTTCTTACCTTATGCATGTGTGCGTGTGTGTGTATTTGCACAGATTTAGGGATACAATAACTAAATGAAAAGCATTGCATCTTTTCTTACTTTTTTAATGCACAATCCGAACAGCTTCAATCCATCTGATTGGTTGAAAGGAAGTGGAAACACATAAATCACTATTGCCCAACAAATAGAAATTGAAGGCAAAAAAAACAAAATGTAGGCAGTAGACAAATAGTAAAAAGGAAGAGTTAACTGGGATCTAAAAATTCTTATCTTTATCTTGTCAATTCATTTTATCATTGCAGAGTAAAACGCTGACTGTCTTTGGAAAATGTATACGTTTGTCAAATAAACCTTATTTAGTTGCAAAAAAAAAAAATTCATGTGAAATGCAGATAACTCAGTTTACTTTGTTGGATTAAGGGATTTTCTACTCCTACTGCAGTAAGTAATACCAAAATCTATAGATATATGTACACATATATTTGCATAAAACTCTTATAAAACTATAGTTAATTATCACATATATGTGTTTATATAATGGAAATTCGTAAAAGTATTGAAGCTAATTTTCTCACCTGCAAACATTGTCATCAACCATATAAACAACCTAAAGCCTTAGTGTGTTTACATTCATTTTGCCAGTCATGTCTAGAAGATATTATTTCAAAGCGTAAAGCAGATGAAGAAGCTAAAGAGATTGAAGCTTTGAAATTGTTGTATAAAACATCAAATTCTAGTGATTATACATCTGGTTATCGTCGTAAATGGTCATCACGTTTTCGTTATGGTGATTACTCGTCATCATCAGCCTATGGATCTTCAAGGTATACTCGACAAGCTCCAACAAAAGATGATGTAATCACATGTCCAATATGTCAAAAGGATACTATTGTACCAAGTGGGGGAGTGACAAGTCTACCAGCGGATCAATTAGCTGACAAACTTGCCTCTATGGTAGATCGTATGCCTAATTTTCCTGTTTGTGATGTTTGTACTAAAGAACCTTTGTTGACGAATACACATTTAAATGGCATTAAATCTCCACAGTCTAGTATGCAAACTAGATTTAAACAATCAAGGTATACAGACTTTAATAGATATGCTAACAGTGATGATACACTAAGTGAAGATGACAGTGCAGAAGATGAAGGAGTTTCTCTTGATAAATTAAGTATGCAAGACAGTGTAGACAATTCAGAAGCATTCAGTCCTCAGTCAACACGTGAATCTAATAACCGACATAAGGAGAGAGATCAAAATCACTTACGAAAATCGTTAACCACAGGTCGAAGATGTAATGATTCAATTGGTCCGAGACCAGCAAGTGCGGCGTGTTTAGAATGCGGTAAAAGATTGTGTGATTACTGTCAAGAAGCTCATTCTAGAATGCCAGTCACCTCCAACCATGTACTAATTCAAGTAGAACAAATGGAACAACTTCGGTGTGATAGACATCCTCGTGAGTTGAGACGATTTTTTTGTTTAACTTGTCGGGCTTATATCTGTATTATATGTGCTTTTGAAACACCTACTGACAATATGCTGTCAAAAAAAGATAATTTAATTTACTCTGGTCATGCAGATCATGATATATTATCAATGAGACAGGCCGTTTCTGCTTATCAAGATCAGTTAAGTTTGAAAAGTGCTGAGACACAATCTCATATGAGTCAAATTGAACTCTTTTTAACTGGTTTACAGATCTGTGAAAATGAAATGCGTCAGTTACGCACAACAATTGAAGATACCGCGATGGCTTATATTGATCGTATTCATTTACAAAGAGCAAAATTATGCGAACAGGTGGATAAAATGGTCGGTATTGAATTAGATCAAATAACTACTGAGTGTAATCGATTAACAACTGCTACAGCAGCATGGTATAATTTTATTAACGATGATTGTGTCACTAGTCGTTTAGACCTTATGGATCCTATTGAAGCGTTAAGTGAAGCAGGACCAATAATGGATCGATTGAACAGGTGTTTACAATTAGCTTCCAGTTCAATGTTAACTACTCCTGAATGGCAGTTGTTTTTGTCTCAGTTAGCAGTAGCAGAAAAAACTATCCAAAATACAAATTATGATTCGCATAAGTTTGAGAAAACAAATGGTGATGTTACTGACAATGATGACGATAATAAAAGTTGTGACAGTAATTACGAAAAAGAAGAGTTAACAGAAGATCCACGTATAACATTCTGGCGTTCTAGAATTGGTAGTTTTCAATCAGGCGAGGTGAATCTAGGCAGAATAGTCACTCCAAGTCAGCTAGCTGCAGAAGCAAAAGTTAAAGCTGCTCAGTTCATCAGTACTCATGTACAAACTGGTCCAGAATTAATCAAAACACTACCACCACCAAAAGGAGCACTTCTTCATCGTGCTATACAAGTTGACTTTCTAAATGCTAATTTAGACGATAGAGGTACACAAACAGAAGCACCATCCACAAAAAATATATTTCATCTTAAAGTCGATGCTGGTACACAATATTTAAGTTCAGATGTAAATCCGCCTGTGAGTATTTATCGTTCAATTAAACAAATTCTAGTTCAAAAATGATAACCTTTCGTTCTGAAGCAGATTCAATTCTTCTTTCTCCTCTTCAAATATTGTCTACTTTCATTGACAACTTTCATTGAAACAGCAAAGAAGGATATACTCACAATAATTATCGTTTTAACAAGTAACAGTGTTTCCCTTCGCTCGCTTTCTTTCTGCCTTGCAACATTTTTGTGTATATTATATAACAGCATGATATTAAATTGTATTCTACTCACTTTTCTATCTCAAAATGTCATATCAGTCAAATAAAACAATTTAGAAGTATAATAATAATAATAGTAATAATAATAATAAATTCTTCAACAGTTCAATGAATTGGAAAATTTAAAAATTCATTGAATTAGATCTTTCGCTTTTCTAAGAAGATTCTCCTTCTTTGTTATTTCTTTTTCACAGTTTGTATAATTTTAAAAAAAAAAGCAGTGACAAGGTAAAGTGATACTTATTTCCTTAAAAGGGACTTCTTCTTCCTTATCATAAATTACTATCTGTGCCTAATGTTAAATTTTGATATAATACATATATATATATTATAATAAAGATGCTAAAGAGTACCTTTGAAGAAATTATTCTTCGTTCAATGAGTATCAGGTTATCGGTCTACATTTGTTAGAAGGATTTATGAGTCGAGATAAGAAGTCAAATGCTGAATGTGGACAAAGTGCTCATAGTCGGAATTTCCACTTTATTTTATTGATTTTTCGTTTTCATGCCATGTCTGACAAATCTTCAGATGTTTGGGTCTGTATAATTCAGTGAATAAATTGTATAACTTATCAGTATCCCATTAAACAACCATTTGTATAGATTAATATACTCTGCGCTAATACTTCGCAACATACTATGCTTAACATTAGAGGGTTTTTACCTTAAATCTACTTAAGAAACTTCACAACTAAGAAATCTTTTGAATAAGGTCGGTGTGAGGACAAATACTCGCCGAAGACATTGCAAGGGTCGCGCTATGTCGTGAATTGGCAGAAGTTTGAGTTCATGGGCCACTGGATCGGGTCCCAGTGGCTTAATGGTATACGAGCTTGTCTTGTAACCAGAAGGTCCTGGGTTCGAATCCTTGTGGGTGCGTAGTGCTGAAGGGTCCCAAACTAGGACGAAAAAACAGCTATCCAGTACTCACAGGTGGGTTTTCCAATGATTCTCTAACTGATGTCAGCTCATGATGAAATCCTGTAACCAATCAAATCTCTACAAACTAACACTTGAATAAATTTAGAAAGCGGATAGTTCCCACAGATTAAACAAGGACAGTAGGAGAGACGAAAAATAGTCGCAGTGAATAAGTTTTAAGTAGGACCATTCGTAAATACAAAAGTAAAAGAATTAAATTATTTTTTCAAATGGTTTAGTATCATTATTTTAGAAAAAGAGAATGAAACACAAATACGTTGTTGGTGAAATAGCTTTGGAACAAGACATGTAAGCGAACAATATTGTTTTCAGTTAGATCTTCTTCAGGCTTTACTCTAATTTACATAGATTTATATTTAAAAATGTTAACCAATGATGGTGATTTTATGGATCAAATAAATTAATAATAATAATGTGGTAAATGTTTTGAACGAAATTAATAACGATGATTATAATGGTAACAAAATATTCATAATAAGGTTTATGCAGGTGGCGATTAGAATAACGAAGGTAATAGTAATACGTGTATATGTAAACAATTCAATAAATAAATTAGGCCAAATCTTAAAAGTTTATAATACTCAAGGTGAAGTGGACAGATAATCAGAGTTTGAAGAAATATCATAAAAGTACGAAGGAGATGGAAGATAAGAAAGGGTGGGAAGGTTTTGAGTAGAATTCACTTAGGCCAAGGGAGAGACAAAGGTAGAACAAACTTCTTATGTACGCAAAGACTAGGATTGCTATCCCGAATTCCCATAGCTTCGGCTAAGTGTAAAAGACGGGTTCTGATTCCGTTCAAAAGGCTCGATGGAATGCGGTAAATAACTTTGAAAGCACTATTTTTGTCCACTTGGTGACCACTATCAATCAAATGAGCCAAAATAGAACTTCGTATGGATTTTATTTGACCTTTTCCGAACCGTGAAGGAAGATGCTCATTAATGCGTTTGTTTAGCTGTCTAGTTGTTCGGCCTATATAACTTTCTCCACAGGAGCAACTAAATTTATCAGTCTTGAAGAAAAAATCACCTTCTAAGAATTTTGAATTCACAGATGATATTGAAGCTAAATTTTTGTATACAGCACCACTGCTCAAATTGTTCTTTTTCTGAGACATCATTCAACTATTCTGCAGTTCAGTTGCTGTCATCTTTTGACTGGATAGAGCTCACTTGTTTATTCTTACTTTTCGATTTAAAACAAGATATATAAGCGGACAATATTGTTTTCAATTAGATCTTCAGGCTTTACTCTAATTTACACAGTTTACATGATTTGGAAAAGTTGAAATAAAATCTATAAGAAGTTCTATTTTTGCTCATTTGATTGATAGCGGTCACCAAGTGGACAAAAACAATGTCTTCAAAGTTATCTATCGCATTCTATCGAGCTTTTCGAACGCAATTTGAATCTATCTTTTACACATGCCGAAGCTATGGAATTCGAGAGAACAATCCTAGTGTTTGCATACAAAAGAAGTTTGTTCTACCTTTGTCTCTCCCTTGGCCTAGGTGAATTCTATTCAAAAACCTCCCACCCTTTCTTATCTTCCATCTCCTTCATATTTTTATGATATTCATTCAAACTCTGATTATCTGTCCACTTCACCTTGAGTATTATATAACTTTTAAGATTTGGCCTAATTTATTTATTGAATTGTTTACATATACACGTATTGCTATTACTATTACCTTCGTTATTCTAATCGCCACCTGCATAAACCTTCGCATCAATATTTTGTTATCATTATAATCATCGTTATTATTGACGTTCAAAACACTTATCACATTATTATTATTATTGTCATTATTATTATTTGATCCATAAAATTACCGTCACTGGTTAAAATATTTTATATATAAATCTATGTAAATTAGAGTAAAGTCTGAAGAAGATCTAATTGAAAACAACAATATTTTTCGCTTATATGTCTTGTTCTAATATTAAAAATGGGAATATTTAAAGATTTTTCGATTTCCGCAATTTCTTCGGACGATTCTCTTTATCAGAGGAGTAGACCATACAGAAACTTCTTTGCCTCAGGCTAAATATCTACAAATATGAAGTAATACAAATGATTATGTTGTGAAAATAACTGAATCACGTGCAACGAATCCTTGTTTTTCCGATAAAACGCAGATATTCTTCTACGAGACCGTGTTGATTTAAGGCATCACAAATGAAGACAGAAGCTAAAAATAACAGAAGGAAATGGAGTCCTCTGGAATTCTAAAGGTGACAGTGAAAATTTTTTTAATATTTTGAACCTTTAACCTTGTTTTAAAAGATCGCATGAAATTTAATAAATTTTAAGTATTATAAAAAACGTAATTCTAGAAAAAAATGCAGAAGGAGTTTTACTCAGAATTTCTTCCAGTGATTAATTATTTTGAAGTAATAAATTCCAGGACTCGCTGTGTTAGCTCACCGCAGTTCACTTCAAGATGTATAAGATACTCTGCATTTCATTAAACTGTCAATGGCTTGGCCAGGTGACTAGAGGTATCTGTGAATGTGATACTGGAAGTCATCGGAAGATAGTGAGCGAATGTCTATGTTGCAGAGATACCATAGTGAAATACGTTGATAAACACTAAAAAACCTAATGTGAGCTAAGGTTGTATTCGACAGTCTCCATCCAACCGACGAGACGTCTCTCAATCTGAAAGTGGAATTTCGTAAGAAGAGGCCATTGAATAATTTTCTATAGTTTGGCTTGCAAGGATTAGTTATAGTTTTACGAGTTGATCACGGATTGATATCAGTTAGAGGACCATTGAAAACCAGGGAGTACTGGGTTCGAATCCCAGTGGGTGCGTACTGCCGATGATTCCCAAACTAGGGTGAAACAGCAGCTGTCCAGTACTCCCTGGTTTTCAATGGTTCTCTAACTGATATCAATCCGTGATCAACTCGTAAAACCATTGAATAATTCCTTTATGCCGATAAGTTTTCTTATTTTTAAAATGTAACCTTTTTGTTTAATTCGATAATACCTGCCTTGCATTCATAAGAATGCATTAATGCATTGCACATCGTTACGCAAATGGAAAGGATATGGAAGATTTATAGAATCAATATAGACAAATCTATAATTAATTCGTAAATGTAAATTCCATAGAAATCTTTTCTAAACGACATGTAATTACATAACAGAAGGATATTGTATTCTGTGTGATTAACGTAGTAATTGTTTCCCCTTCTATTGACTCTGCATATGCTGAAAATTTCCTAATTAGACGAAATGCATTAATCATTTACACTAGAGGTATTTATAGCTTAGGCAGTTAATGGAAGCCTGTGTGGATATTAAAGTCATTAGAAGTCTGTAGCTAGACAAACTACGCTATTTTTACTTCACTTCTCTTTAAAAAATCGAATACACAAAGTGTTTTATTATTATTTAGCAAAACGAAGTTGACAAGAACAGTCCTTATATAAATAAGAAAATATAGAACTGTGAAAAACTTACTACCTCTATGCTGGTTGAATGACTGCTTAGAAGAGACTTGTCATCTAAAATCACTAGGAAGTCAACTTACTGTATTCAGGGCCTTCGTATTATTCTTCCCCGTAGTACGCTTAAAACTAACGCAGATATATGATAACTAAATCGAAGACAAATGAACTGTAGTCAAGATTTGACAGAATAGTTCTAAAATATTTGGGCGCCGAGTGAGAAGTAGACATTTGTAAAAAAATTATATTTGTAAAATCTCAGCGATATTGAAATAAGTAATTCCAACGTTTCGTTCCGCAATCTGGTCCGAACTTCTTCAGGGAAATTAATCGAAATTTACATAACATAGGTTTATATATAAAAGGAACATCTCTTATTTTTAAAAACT